CTAACACAAAGAAATGATAAATGCTTAAGGTGAGATGATGGACAGATATGCCAATTACCCTGATTTGATCATTACACACTGCTTGTGTAAAAATATCATACATACCCCACAAATATGTACAACTATTAGGTATCCAGAATAATTGAAAACTTTTTAATCTGCAGTTAAATATCGCAGAATTTTTCTCCAAATTGAAAACTAAACCAAATAGTGATCAATGTGTGTATGTGTGTGTGTGTGTGTATGTGTGTGTACATGTATATATATGATACTTTCTGCTCTAAACAGCATGCTATTCTTAAAGTCTTAGTTTGCTGCTTACAAAGGGAGAATAAATCCTTCAATTTCAGGAAGATTTGGGACATACACTCATACAGAAACTTAAAAATATTTATGAGCAGGGGATAAGTTCAAACATGTCACAGCAATTTCTGTAGGTCCTACTCAACTCATTTGCATCCTAAGGGCTATGCTCAGCACCTGTACCCTAGATACTTTTCTTTAAGACTTTGTTCTCAGACCCTGCCCTGGTAGTCAAGATTGTGCCTTACTAACTTTCTCCTCTGTTATTGGGTCGGTTGTTGGCCATGTTGCAGTATTTATTCTAATTAATTTTTTTCCATTGAGATGAAATTCAAATAGCATTACAATCAACTATTTATTTATTTATTTATTTATTTTTATTTATTTTTTTTGAGTTGGAGTCTCACTCTGTCACCCAGACTGGACCACCACAGCCTCGACCTCCTGGGCTCCACCGATCCTTCCGCCTCAGCCTTCCAAGCATCTGGAACTACAGGTGCATGCTGCCACACCCGGCTAGTTTTTGATTTATTGTAGAGATGAGGTCTCGCCAAGTTGCCCAGGTGGGTCTCCAACCTGCGGGTTCAGGCAATCTACTCGCCTCAGCCTCCCAAGGTGCTGGGATTATAGGTTGAGCCACCGAAAATGAACTATTTTAAAGTATAGGGTTCAGTGGCATTTTCTGTGTAGATAACTGCTGCATCTTACTCTAAGTTGTATTTCAGGACGTATTTTTAACTATTCCCATGATCTAAATCTCTTCCCTAGAAATCCTGATGAAGCCACTTCCCCCTTTTGTGAGTGTCTCAGTGACTATTTATCAGCAATAGCAAGACAAACCTGCTCAAGCTCTCTTCTTTTCCTCTGGTACCCACTCAAAATGCCAGACACCCAAAACTCATATCTCCTCCTTGACTGAGATGATGCCACTGGGATGTCATGTACTGCTTTGTCTTTCTTTGTCTCAGGAAAAACTGATTACTTACAATAAACTAGGTGGACATTCAATGCCCAGAGTGAGCAAGAAGATGCTACAAACCATAGTTGTTCTTAACTGATTTTGCATTCATCCCTTTTCCTCCTTCTCCCTTATTGTCTGTCTTCTGTTGGATACCATAAATCCTTTGAGAATGTAATTGTTGTCCATTCTCCTTAAGTACTGTACTCAAAGATTGGACTATAAAATAAATCCTATTACTTTAGTTTTTGAGGGCTGAGGATCTTTTTGTGTTTTCTGGTGGAGACTTTGAGTTGCCACTAACTTTCAAGTACAAAGGACACTGCTAATGTGTATCAGTAGCTGTTTCATTGACCTCTTTGTATCTTCACTCAATCACCCCTATAAATTAAAATCTCATGGGTACAAATGAGACAAGGCGAGACTAGGAAACATTTCAGTTTTACCCATTTTATTTTCTGAATCAAACCTGATGTCACACAATTTCTGGTCAGTCTAACACTTTCATATTGTACTTATTTTACACTTGAGAAAATACTGTCATACAAGCCTATCTTATTTTATTGCACTTTGTTTTACCTCACAGATAGTGCATTTTGTACAAACTGAAGTTTCATGTCAACCCTGCTTCTAATAAGTCTATTGGCACCATTTCTCTAAAAGCATGTGCTCATTGTATCTCTGTGTCACATTTTGGTAATTCTTGTAATACTTCAAACTTTTATTTTTATTATTATTATTATTATGGTGATATATGATCAGTGATCTTTGATGTTACCTTTGTAATTCTTTTGGGGCACCAAGCATCATGCCCATATACAGTGACAAGCTTAAGTGTTAAGTGTGTTTGACTACTCTGCTGACTGGCCATTTCTCCATCTCTATTTTCTCAGGTCTCCCTATTCCTTGAACACAATAATATTTAATTAAGCCAGTTAGTAACCCTACAATGGCCTCTAAGTGTAAAAGTGAAAAGAAGAGTCACACACATCTCATTTTAAATCAAAAGCCATCCAGGCTCAGTGGCTCAGTCTGTAATCCCAGCACTTTGGGAGGCCGAGGCAAGTGGATTGCCTGAGCCCATGGGATCAAGATCCACCCGGGCAACTTGGCGAGACCTCGTCTCTACAATAAATCAAAAATTAGTACGTGCCTCAACCTGTAATCCCACGCCTTTGGGAGGCTGAGGTGAGTGGATTGCCTGAGCCCGTGAGTTCGAAACCCGCCTGGGCAGGAAGGCCTCATCTCTACAATAAATCAAAAATCAGCCTGGCGTGGTAGTGCATGCCTGTAATTCCAGCTACTTGGAAGACTGAGACAGAAGGATGGCCGGAACCCAGCAGGTCGAGGCTGCGGTGGCCGGGAGCAGTCTGGGTGACAGAGTGAGACTCCAACTCAAAAAAAAAAAAAAAAAAATTAGCACGACGTGGTAGCACACGCCTGTAGTTCCGGCTACTTGGAAGGCTGAGGTGGAAGGATTGCCGGAGCCCAGCAGGGCAAGGCAGTGGTGGCCTGGAGCATGCCACTGCACTCCAGCCTGATCACCAGAGTGAGACTCCAACTCAAAAAAAAAAAATTCAAAAACCTGGTAAAGAAGGTTTTATTCAACCAAAATAGGCTGAAAGCTAGGTTTCTTATACCAAAGAGCCCTTTATGAATGGAAAGAAAAAGTTCTTGAAAGTAAGTAAAAGTGCTGTCAATGAACACAGAAATAATAAGAAATAAAAATAGCCTTATTGCTGATATGGAGAAAGTTTTAGTGGTCTGGATAGAACATCAAACCAGCCAAAACATTCTCTTAAGCCAAAGCCTAATACCATTCTGGTTATAAAACAATAGGGATGAGGCAATAATCTAAAAAAGAAAAAATAATCCAAAGTTTATCTAGAAAAATCAATATGTAAAATTTAAAAATTTCGAAGAAGAGGAAATTTCGAATAAGAGGAAAATTGTCCCCTCAACTATAAAACAGATAACTAGGCTGGCTTGGTAGCTCAGTCTGTAATCCCAGCACTTTAGGAGGCCGAGGCGAGTGGACTGTCTGAGCCCGCGGGTTGGAGACCCACCTGAACAACTTGGTTAGATCTCGTCTCTACAATAAATCAAAAAAAAAAAAGTAGCTGGGCGTGGTAGCACACTCCTGTAGTTCCGGGTACTTGGAAGGCTGAGGCAGAAGGATCGCTGGAGCCCAGCAGGTCCCTGCTGCGGTGTCCAGGAGTGTGCCACTGCACTCCAGTCTGGGTGACAGAGTGAGACTCCAACTCAAAAAATGAAATAAAATAAAAATAAAACAGAGAACTAAAATAAGGCCCTAATTCTCTTCAATTCCATGAAGTCAAAGAAGTGAGGAAGTTGCAGTAGAAAAATTTGAAGCTAGTAGATGTTGGTTCACGATTTAAGGCAAGAAGCCATCCCCATAACACAAAGGTACAAGGTACAAGGTGAAGCAGCGAGTGCTGACATAAGAGCCATGGCAAGTTATCCAGGAGATCTAGCTAAGACCATGGATGAAGGTGGCTACACTAAACAACATGTTTTCATTGTAGATGAAACAGCCTTTTATTGGAAGAAAATGCCTTCTAGGACTTTCATAGATGGAGAAGAGAAGTCAATACCTGGCTTCAAAGATTTAACAGAAGGTTGACTCTTTTTTTTTTTTTTTTTTTTTTTGAGCTGGAGTCTCACTCTGTCACCCAGACTGGAGTGCTGTGGCCACTCCCGGTCACCGCAGCCTCAACCTGCTGGGCTCCGGTGATCCTTCCACTTCAGCCTTCCAAGTGGCTGGAACTACAGGCGCGCGCTTTGTAAAGGCTTAAATGATCATTAGCATTTTTTAGCAATAAAGTATTTGTGAGTTTAAAAATGCACTTTTTTCAGATATAATTCCATTGCACACTTAATAGACTACAGTATAAAAGGTAAACATAACTTTTATACGCACGGAAAAATTTAAAAATGTGTGACTCCCTTTACTGTTATATTTGCTTTATCACAATGGTCTCTGAGGTATGCCTACATATATGTCACTAGAGTCCTAAATACCCATGAGAACTAGTTATAAAATTTAATCTCAATTTCAGTAGCAGCAAAACTATTACTTTAAAAGTTAACTCATCAGGCCGGGCTCGGTGGCTCAGCCTGTAATCCCGTGCTTTGGGAGGCCAAGGTGAGTGGATTGCCTGAGCCCGCGGGCTCAAGACCCACCTGGGCAACTTGGCGAGACCTCATCTCTACAATAAATCAAAAAATTAGCCGGGTGTGGTAGCGCACGCCTGTAGTTCCAGTAGTTGGAAGGCTGAGGTGGAAAAATCGCCGGAGCCCAGCAGGTCGAGGCTGCAGTGGCCGGGAGTGTGCCACTGCACTCCAGTCTGGGTGACAGAGCAAGAGACTTCAACCCAAAAAAAAAAAAGTTAACTCATCCAAAAATGTTTGAGACATAAATGCAGAAACTTACAGAAGTGTTTAAAAGATGAACGTGCAATCAATTAAGAGACATTATATAAATACAGTGCTAAACATATAAAGATCCCATTTCATCCCAAGTATATGAATTGGTTGACTATCATTCTGGTTATAAAACGATGCAATGAAGGGTGAGGTAATAATCTAGAAAAACCAATTTGTAAAAATAAGAAACTTTAGAAGAAGAAACAAAAGGAAAATTTTCCTTCAGTTATAAAATACAGAGCTAGACATTGAGCAGCGACACACGTCGGGGGCATCTTTAGGAGTCAGTATCATGGCAGAAGACATCAAGACCAAAATCAAGAACCACAAGACTGCCCCTTTTGACAGTCGCTTCCCCAACCAGAAACAAACCAGGAACTGCTGGCAGAACTACCTAGACTTCCACCGCTGTGAGAAGGCAATGACTGCTAAAGGGGGTGATGTCTCTGTGTGTGAATGGTACCGGCGTGTGTACAAGTCACTCTGCCCCATATCCTGGATCTCAACCTGGGATGACCGCCGGCCTGAGGGCACATTTCCTAGGAAGATCTGAACTGGCTGCACCCCACCTCTGCTATATCCTCCATCCTTCTCCCAGGGTGGCTAAAGGGTACATGGTGTTCCCTGCTTTGGGACCCTGAATCATGATTTAACTACTAATAAAAACTTACTGGAAAAGTGTAAATAAATAAATAAATAAATAAAAATAAAATAAAATAGAGAGCAAAAAAAATTAAAGCTAGCCAGGGTCGGTGGCTCAGCCTGTAATCCCAGCACTTTGGGAGGCTGAGGTGAGTGAATTGCCTGAGCTCGCGGGTTCAAGACCCGCCTGGGCAACGTGGCAAGACCTCATCTCTACAATAAATCAAAAAATCAGCCGGGCGTGGTAGCGCATGCCTGTAATTCCGGCTACTTGGAAGGCTGAGGCGGAAGGATCGCCAGAGCCCAGCAGGTTGAGGCTGCAGTGGCCGGGAGTGGCCACTGCATTCCAGTCTGGGCGACAGAGTGAGACTCCAACTCAAAATAATAATAATAATAATAATAATAATTTCAATATTTAAACAGTACCAAATTTTATTACCATGTACTTTAATTCAGGAATGCTATATTAAACCTTTGTATCATAGAAAATTTGACTGGTCTGTGTCACTGGTTTCTGGGCGAAAGACTAAATATTTAGAATTTCCCAAGTAATAGGAATATTTTTGTTATTTATGAGTCCCATAAAGTGTCACATCTGATCATTTATGCTAATGAAGTAAGTCACAGTAATCCCCTAGATAGCTTTAGAATGAGAGCTTAATATTTCAGAAAGAATAACCACATGATTAGGAGGAAGTTGGGCTTTAAGTCACATGATATCAGTTCAGTCTTCTGATTTCCAGGGAAGAGGGGCCTGAAGATAGAGTTCAAGCACAGAGTCAATGATTAAATACATTATACATAAGCAATTAAACCACAACTAAATATTTGGACATTGAAGTTTAGTGACGCTTTCTGGTTAGTGAACACATTGATGTGCTAAGAAGGTGACTCCACAAGGAGAAGGCGTGATAGCTCTGTATTTGGGCTTTCCTCACAATTTACCTTCTGTGTCTATTCATCTGGCTGTTCCACGTTTGTATACTTTATAATGAACTGTAATCTAAGTATAGCACTTTCCTGAGCTCTGTGAATCATTCTAGCAAATTATCAAACATGAAGAGGGTAGAGGGAAATAGAGAGATTTATAGACAGTTGGTCAAAAGTCTGAAGTGGTCTGGGGATTCCACTTGTGGCTTGTGTCTAAAGTGAGAGCCATCTTGTTGAGTACCTTGTCTTTTTACTTGTAAAGTCTGACACTAACTTTGAGTGGTTAACATCACAATTGAATTGTCCTCCCAGACATCAGTTGGTGTCTGTGATGGTTAATTATAGGTGTCAACTTGATTGGCTTAAGGGATACCCAGATAACTATTAAAGCATTATTTCTGGGTGTCTGTGAGAGTGTTTCCAGAAGAGGTTGCCATTTGAATCAGTGGACTGAGTAAGGAAGATTCACCCTCACTCAATGTGAGCAGGCCTATCCAGTCGGTTGAGGGTTCAGGTTGAACAAGAAGGCAGAGGAAAGGCAAATTTACCCTCTTCTAGAGCCATAACACCCATTTCTCCTGTCCTTGGACCTCAGAACTCCAGGTTCTTCAGTTTTCAGATTCCAGGACATGCACCAACAGGCCCCAGGATCTCAGGTACTCAGACTTGGACTGAGCTATGCTGCCAGCTTCCCTGGTTTGTCAGCTTGCAGATGGCATATCATGGACGTCTCAGCTTCCATAATCACATGAGCTAATTCCTCTAATAAATCCCCTCTAATCTATCTATCATCTATCTATCTACCATCTATTTATCTTATTGATTCTGTTTCTCTAGAGAATCCTGACTAATGTAGTGTTGAAATAAAACCTGGCCAGGCTCGGTGGCTCAGCCTGTAATCCCATGCCTTTGGGAAGCTGAGGTGAGTGGATTGCCTGAGCCCGCAGGTTCAAGACCCGCCTGGGCAGCAAGACCTCATCTCTACAATAAATCAAAAAAAAATCAGCCGGGTGTGGTAGCGCATGCCTATAATTCTGGCTACTGGGAAGGCTGAGGCAGAAGGATCGCCAGAGCCCAGCAGGTCGAGGCTGCGGTGGCCAGGAGCGGCCACTGCACTCCAGTCTGGGCGACAGAGTGAGATTCCAACTCAAAAAAAAAAAGTCATAAATTTCAATAATGATTGGTAACTCAGGAATTTGGAATATTAGAACAATCTGAAGGAAACTATAAAATAATAGATCATAAGATTTGAAAAAAGAATAAAATAGAATTCCTAGAAATGAACAAGCCTAGTCACTAAAATAAAATCTTCATATAAATATTTGGGTAACCTCAATATTTTCCAAATACTTCTTGAAAATCTCAGGATAACATTCTAGAGCCCAATAAGAATCTTGGATTCAGTGTCAACCAGATTATCTGAAAAAGCTGCTGTTGACAGGTCAGTGCTTGTTATAGGCTTATATCATAAGAACTATTTAAGATGGACTTATTCTCTTTCCAATTTTTTATTCTGACAGCTTGTTTTGATAGAATAATACCTCACTAACATTTTTTAAGAACAAAAAATATTACAAATTGTTTTATTATTCATCTTACTGATTTTTTTCTTTTCTTTTTTTTCTGAGTTGGAGTCTCACTCTGTCGCCCAGACTGGAGTGCAGTGGCATGCTCCCGGCCACCACAGCCTCGACCTGCTGGGTTCCGGCAATATTTCCGCCTTAGCCTTTCAAGTAGCCGACACTACAGGTGTGTGCTATCCCGTCTGGCTAATTTTTTATTTATTGTACAGACAAGGTCTTGCCAAATTGCCGCGGCGGATCTCGAACCCGCGGGCTCAGGCAATCCACTCACCTCAGTCTCCCAAAGTGCTGGGATTACAGACTAAGTCACCGAGCCTGGCCCATCTTACTGATTTTCTTTATGATTATATTTTAAAATCATCTTTTCTATTCTCACCTCCATATCCATTGGCCAAAATAACTGATCAATAATTAGGGATTCTCACTTCAAAAGGTAATATTAGCTCTTAGATTGTTATGATTGCCTATTCTATGAACTGGGGGCCACTTGTATCTCTACATAGGAGTCTCATTTTCCTTTCTGCCTTTGCCATTTGGTAGTGTAGATTACAGAGCAATATTCCAACTTGGCATTTTTCATTTAACAGAATTTTAACTATGTAATTTGGATTTATTTTATTTTATTTTATTCTATTTTATTTTATTTTGAGTTGGAGTCTCACTCTGTCGCCCAGACTGGAGTGCAGTGGCCGCTCCCGGCCACCGCAGCCTTGACTCGCTGGGCTCCGGCGATCCTTCCGCCTCAGCCTTCCAAGTAGCTGGAACTATAGGCGCGCTACCACGCCCGGCTCATTTTTGATTTATTGTAGAGATGAGGTCTCGCCAAGTTGCCCAGGCGGGTTTCAAACCCGCAGGCTCAGGCAATCCACTCACCTTGGCCTCCCAAAGTGCGGGATTACAGGCTGAGCCACTTAGCCCGGCACTGCCTAATTCTTGCGATGCCAGAAGATCATATGGTCTCAGTGTTCTACTTATTGCAACAGTTTCCCTCTTCCTAATGCAATAGTCATTTTCCCTCCTTGCAAGAATCATTTTGAATAAAATCTCTTCTTATAAAAAATAATATATACCTACAATCAGTTAACTTTAAGGAAACAGATTACCTTCCATAATATGGGTGGACTTCATTCAATCAGTTAAACGATATTAAGATCAAAGACAGAG